TACCCAGTGGATTGTGGTTGGAAGAATACATATGGAATTTATGTTCTCAGAGCCTGGTATAGGATAGTCTAGTGTAAGAAAAGTATGAGGCTAGGAGTGCATTAGGCTTGGTATTTTCTGGATCATATGGAAGATTACAGGTATCCTGTTATGGAGTTGAGATTCTTAACCTGTTTCTGAGAGAAGTCTCTTTCTAAGCAGGTGGTAGTGGTAGTGGGACCTTAGTACTAGTACCAGATGTGAAATCTTCCTCAAAGATCTAGCTTTGAAGTCGAGAAGTCTCTATAGCACATACGTTATTTATTATCCATCTCTCTCTCCATATATGTATAATGTATATATAAGGCAATTCTGTAAAGCAAGGCACAGTGTTGTATGATTCACTATCACTTATTGAGCAGTTATTACCTGCCGGGCACTGTACTAAGTACTTTACATGTAGTTGATCTTTCTTAATACTTACAACTTCTCAGTGAATAGGTGATATTATTATTGCCAAGTTATATATGAGGACACCAGAGAATTATTGAGGTATACTATAGACTTTTGAAATGCTCATTGCTTTCAACAATTAAATTCTTGGTTCTTTAAGTTTCTCAATGAACTCTGTAGGCAAAATAAGAGTTCCAAATAGCTCCCAAGATTCCTGCCCCAGTGTACATTTTTTGTTAAATACTTTCCCCTTGTGTGTGGGTGGGACCTGTGAATATGGTGGGATATCACTTCTTGGTCACATTATGTTACATTACACTTTGTCACAGCAAACTAGAGAGAGATTCTTCTGCTGGCTTTGAAGAAATAAGCTTCCATGTTGTCAGAGGGTCAGGTGGTTAGGACTTAAGCGTGGCTTCTGAACGCTGGGAGTGATGCTCCCTGCCAACAGCCAGCAAGAAACCACGGACCTCAGTCCTAAAGCTGCAAGGAAATGAACTTTGTCAACAACTTCAGTAAGTTTGGAAGAGGATCCCGACCCTCAGATGAGATTATAGTCTCAGATGAGATTATAGTCTCAGATGTTTTAACAGACCCAGCTAACACCTTGATTTCAACTTGGTGAAACTTTGAGCACAGAACCAAGCTGATCTTACTCAAAAAACTATAAGATAGTAAATTTGAATTGTTTCATGCTGCTAAATTTGTGGTAATTTACAATATACCAATAGAAATGAATGCAATGAATTGCTCCTACTTCCTTTTGCATACATCTGTGTATGCCTCTACTTGTGTGTGTGTATGCGAGAGACAGATGATGAAATCATTGCATCACCTTTACCAAAGAAGCTTTATGATAAGCAAAGATGAGTATAAATCCAAAATTATCTACCATGAATGATGCAGTCGCCACATAGAGAATGGGTTCTCAGTTCTCATTTAAATGCTGGGTGTTTTTTATATTCTCACAGGGAGAGGGAACAAAGGTGTGGAAAAATGACAAATGTGAGCCTCGTGACAACGTTCATCCTCATGGGCCTTCCCCATGCACCAGCACTGGACACCCCCCTCTTTGGAACCTTCGTGGTGATTTATGTACTCACTGTGGTGGGGAACCTCCTCACGCTGCTGGTGATCATGGTGGATTCCCACCTCCACACCCCCATGTACTACTTCCTGACCAACCTGTCCTTCATTGACATGTGGCTCTCCACAGTCACTGTGCCCAAAATGCTGATGACCTTGGTCTCCCCAGGAGGCAGGGCTATCTCCTTTCACAGCTGTGTGGCCCAGCTCTACTCCTTCCACTTCCTGGGGAGCACCGAGGGTTTCCTCTACACAGTCATGTCCTATGACCGCTACCCGGCCATCAGTTACCCGCTCAGGTACACCAGCATGATGTGTGTGAGAACGTGTGCCTTCCTGGCCACAAGCACATGGCTCAGTGCTCTCTGCACTCTGCTGCCCAGACCACACTGACGTTCTGTTTGCCCTTCTGTGGGCCCGACCAGATCCAGCATTACTTCTGTGATGTGCCGCCCTTCCTCAAACTAGCCTGTGCAGACACCTCCGCCAATGAGATGGTCATCTTTGTCAACATCGGGGTAGTGGCCTCGGGCTGCTTTCTCCCAATAGTGCTGTCCTGTGTGTCCATTGTCTGTTCCATCCTGAAGATCCGCACCTCAGAGGGGAGGTGCGGAGCCTTTCAGACCTGTGCCTCTCACTGCATTGTGGTCCTTTGTTTCTTCCTTCCGTGTGTCTTCATTTACCTGAGGTCAGGTTCCAGGGATGCTGTGGATGGGGTTGTGGCAGTTTTCTACACTGTGCTGACGCCCCTTCTAAACCCCGTGGTGTACACCCTGAGGAACAAGGACGTGAGGAAAGCTCTGCTCAAGCTGAAGGACAAAGTAGCATATTGTGAGAGCAAATAAACGCTCAATGTAGATATGCTCATTTTTTAAAAAATTAGTGATATAAATTAATCTTCAACATATTAATTATTGCATGTGTACTTCCTATTGTTAAATGTTATCCAAAACCACCCACTCAGGAATATTTTTTTCACAGATTTTCTAAGGAATTTAAAAAAATCACAATTAAATTTATTATTTATTATGAACATGCTTAAATTTTGATCTATCGACCCATTTCTCTATAATAGATTTATTTTACCTTTTTTCCAGTTTTATTTACATATAATTGACATATAACATTGTTTTTATCTTTTTTAAGAAAAATATTCTGATTGGATCTCAGATATAGAGGATTGAGTTATTCATATATCTAAGTTGATAATATGTCTTTTTTTGGTTATGTCTTATGCACACTGATTACAAACTTGGGAATTTAGAATAATGAGGATACTGTTCAAGAATAGCAACAAATATCAGATGTCATTTACTCATGGTTGCAGCTGTGCAACTGCCCTTTCAATTCTTTCAGTCACTCTGTGTGTGTGTGTGTGTGTGTGTGTGTGTCTGTATGTGTGGGTCCCAAGGTGACTACCCCTCTTCTCTAGCACATCTTGACCCTCTTAATTGCTCCCACATTGAAAGAGTTCTGAACTTCTCCTGAACAGCTGGCTATCTCTCTAGGTAAGTCTGCTAAGACAAGTTGTGGCTCTGACATGCTCCTTTCAGTAACTGGGAACAATCCTCACCTTGCAAGAGCCCTGCAGTTCCTCAGCTTTGGTAAGTTGAATCAGGCCAAGGTTATCAGCAAATACCTCTAGTCAGCATTACATATTTTCACCTTGAATACCTGTGCTACCTGACCTGCCCGTATTTAGCACAGAACCATTCTATGCTGGATCCTTTTACTACAGATGGTGGTAGCTGGTCGTGTTGCCCAGATAGATCTTCTCTCACCATCTTAGAGTCTTGAAAATTCAGCTAAACCAAACTACAAGCTGCTCTGGGACAGGGACACCCCACATTGCAGGCTGGGGCCAATGGTGTTTCCTATTTAGAGAGTGGAAAAATGAAAATATAATTAAGTAACTGGTTATCATGGGATTTAAACATATTTCTTCTATAAATTTGAAAATTAAGACCCGGTAAAGACAAAACACCCTAATGCATAGCTACATAGCTCATAGTGGTGGCCATCCACATGTTAATGGATGATGTGCTATAATGGCATGCAAACGAAATTGGCTCAAATACTGGCTCAATAAGCCTAGAAATAATTTTATGCTCTGTACCTCAATTTCTCATCTGTAAAAGATCCATTTTCAAAATACTGTTATGAAGATTAAATGAGCTACTAGAAATAAAAGTGCTTTGAGTGATACTGATTTATAATAAATTCTTAATTAAAGCTTCTAAATTCACACCTGGGCCCACCAGCGAGATAGCCTGATTCTCAGAATCATTATGTTTACAAATTATTCAATGATCCCTACCCACTAACACAGTATTTTTGGAGATGCACCATGTAGCTTTCCTTAAGTCACTGACCATAAATTACTGTCATGATTAACACTATTATTGACAATGTAATCATTCTGATTAATTAACTATTTTGATAAATTTGGTATTCCCATATTTACTAGTTTTCAAGGAATTTAACTATAATTAAATACATAAAACATTAAAATTATGCCAAATTAAATTATTCCAGAATAATTCAGAGGCAAAAATAGTAACACTATTGAGCTTGGGATATGCTAGACATTTTATAAGTCAATCTTTGTAAGAACGCTATGAGATAGGTAACGTTTTATATGAGATTAGAAAATTGAGGAAGGTTAGATTACTTACTATTCACAGTTAGTGAGGAATATGGTCAAGGTTTAATCCCAGACCATCTGACTTCAAAACCCATGGTGTTAAATTCTACCCTACATTGCTATCACTGAATTTCAGGAACTTTCTGTCTTTGGGGATCAAGACAATATCAATGAACATCAATAATCATTGAAATAACAAAGCACAGGTTTTTCCATTTTGTATCCCAAATATAGGATTTTTTTTAAACTACATCTTTTTCCATAGACTGTGAAAAGTACCTGTCTACTCTACCTCCGACTGAATTAGATTCTAAATGTATCATCCTGTCTGTGTACTTATGTGCTCCACATTAAGCTGGTGAATCTTCAAGGAAAAATCCTGTCTTAGCCCTGTAATATCCACATATATAAATCTTGCTTTGTTTTCTTTAGAATGTTCTCCCTGCTGCAGACCTTTTTCATTTCCAAATATGTCTACTTACTTTTTGAGGGACCCAATTTCCGATCCACACTCGGGATATTAGATCTCATTCCTAAACAGACGCCAACTCTTCCTATCCATGCACTTCCTATATTCCTTATTCCAATCACTAATAACTTTACTTTGTTAGACATTTCAATTTGGAGATAAAACTATTACATCAATTTTTGTATGACTAAAACCAAACTTTTTTTTTCCTTCTTCTTCAACATTTGTCTCTTATGTGCTGTAATTGGCCCAATACAAAGCACTCCAAAACTCAGAAGATCTGCCCGTAATCCTTCCTCATACATTCCTCTTCAAGCAATTGAAAAAGGGGTAACAGAAGAGATAAACAGAAAAAGATGAGGGAGGTAGGATGGTATGAAAAACCTCTGGAAAATAAAGAAAAATGATGGATAATTTTAATACTTCAATAATGAATCCTTTGCATTACCAAATAATAATTGGGACAACCTTATTTTGTAAACACTTCATTGTGTCATTATTATACTCTAAAAGTTATCAGTACTATTTTCAAAAGGGGAAAATAGAAAAGAATAAAATAATTCAGCATTGATGTTTGCATTCCACACAATGTAATCTGACCAAATCTTTCATCACATTGTGCCATATTTTGATGTATTCTCTTTGAAATAGCGGCTCTGGAGTACTGAACTTGTCCACTGAGGCTCATGATTAGTGCTGTCCTTCCCTTGTTGAGCTGAATTTTCAAAATATTGTTTGATAATGGCATGATTCCTTGCAGCTATATATTCTGAATTAACTAGCAGTTGAAAAGGTTCTTAAATTGTAGAAGTAAATAGCTAAATTATAAGAAGTAAATAACCAGCATAGAAAGAATCTAGGTCAAATCTAGCATAAATAGGGTAACTTTTATAATGATCCCAATGTTGATACTTGTTCATCAATTCAATCCTGCTCCCTCAATTAATTAATCAATTCAATAGTTCCTTCAACAAATTTAGTTAAGTGACTACTATATTTAAGGCACAGGAGATACAGAACGTCAAGACAGTATTTGTGTTGCAGAACTTCAGTGTCCAATGGGAAACACATAAGTAAACAAATGAATTTTAGAAGGTCATAAAGTATATATGAAGTACCATGGTAAACGACACGGCATCTAACACAGATTAGGTAGTGGAGTGAATTGCCATCTGAAAATAAATAAAATTACATATACAGATAACAAAGCCTTGCTCCAACTACATAACTCATAATAATTAACACCAAATTCACAGAGCTTATGTTTTCCAGGCCAAATCATAACGCATCTTGAGTCTTTTAGTGCTAATGAGAAGATACTTTGGACACAAGAGACTAAATCCAAAGCATTCCACATTCCTTTTTATTCTCTGATAATCTCAATGTCTAGACCATGCATACATATTGGCCAGGACCTCCCCTTCCCCAACCACAGGCACACCAGAAGGTGCAAGGCTACAGTGTCCCTTGGTGGAGATGAGGATGTATTAGGTGGACAGCATTCAAGTGTTAAATGGTTACAATGTGACTTTATTTTCCTCACTGTGGGAAAAATTAAGACAAAAGCATATCTCCTCCTTCTTGGTAGAATGGGAGGATATTTTCAAAATGGGCATTATCATATCCTTATTCAAAGTTATCATCAGCAAAATGTTTTCAAGGGACTTTATTCTCATAAGGTCATGCATCACTTAACAACAGGATAAATTCTGAGAAATGCATTATTAGGTGATTTTGTTGTTGTGCGAACATCACAGAGTGTTCTTAGACAAACCTAGATAGTATATCCTACTACACATCTAGGCTATATAGTACTAATCTTATGGGACTACCGTCATATATGTGGCCCTTTTTTGACTGAAATCAGTCACATGACTGTATTTGTACTTTGTATTTTGGATACCCATACTATCAAAAGTGACTAGGGGGGCATGCATATTAGATCAAAAGAGACATTTGTGAAACCCTAAAGATTCAGTACTGCTCTATTAGTCACAGTCATCAGGGACAGTAGAAAGCCATAATAGAATTTTGAAAATATGATTGAAATTTGTGCAGCAACAAGTCTGAAGTCGTCAGACACCCTGATGATAGCACTTAAGATCATTAGATATAAATGAAAACAAGGACTCTAATATTAACGGATATGACATATGAGACTTTCTATTACTCCTCTAAAGACTGACACTGGCTGTATATTCACATATTTGATGATGTGGTATCATAATACTTGAAATCATTAATGAAGAGTGCCTAGACATTCCCAGGTGGGAAAAACTCTAAAAATCAAAACAGAGAGCAATTTCATAACAGGCAGCCTGCTGTATATTCATTAAACATCACTGTCAGAGGCTTTACAAAGTTCTACTGAGCACTGAGTGGAATACAAGGATTAGTGATGTACTTTACCTTATGTTCAAAGATGGTAGTGGTAGTCTACGAGAATCCCCTGCCATTACAAATTCACTTCTACCCAGCTGGCATGACTTGAAACTTACCCAAGACTTGTTGGCAATTGGGACAAATCTTGAACCCATAAAGACATTCTCCATTTTCATTACAATGGTTTTTATTTTTAGCATTTTCTTTTGATTCTATATTAGAGTTTTTATCTCTCTGCTTACATTACCCATTTGTTCTCCTGTGTCTACTTTTTCATTAACAGCTCTTAACATATTAATCATAGTTGTTTTAAATTATCTATCTGATAATTCCAACATCTGTGTCATATCTGGGAATGGTTCTGATGAGTACTTTATCTCTTCAGACTGTTTATTCTTGCCTTTAGTGTTCTTGTAATTTTCTGTTGCAAGCTGGTCATGTTGTATAAGGTAAGAGGAACTGAGGTAAATAGGCCTTTAGTGTGAGGATTTATGATAATTTGGCTAGTAGTTGGATTGTGTTTGCTGCTTGTATTAGCTGTGGGTGCCAGAGGCTTCAAATTCCTCTAATGTCCTGTTTTTGCAAGTCTGTTTACCTTAGGCATCCTTAAATGTTCTTCCCCAAAGAGAATCTTTGTCCTGCAACTCTTGCAGGTGTAACGCACTATTACTATAATTGAGCCCTATTAGCATAGTGGTAAAGTTTGAGGGAGGGAGATTATTCTGTAATATTCTGATTCAATGTTAGTGTTTTTTAGTTGCTGCTTGTGCAGCCTCTGTTCTCTGGTGTGTACTGGTGTGCTTTGAAACCACTGATCAGGGTGCCCGACTCTAGCCAGGGAAATCTGCATTTTGTATACTATCCCCACTACTAGAAAGACCAGCACTACTGCTTGGGGTAGAGGAGGGGGCTGGCTCACAGGCTCCACTCTGTGTCCTGAATGGTCAGGATGTGTGTGCCACCTGCAACCACCTGGGGGAGGCAGGGGCTAAGCCACAAGTGAGTGTCATTGCTGCTTGTGCAGCCTCTGGTCACTGGTGTGCACTGGTGTGCTTTGAAACCTGATGTCAGGTGCCTTGCTTCAGCCAGATAAATCCACATTTTGGAAACTGTCCTCAGTACTAGAAAGACTGGTGCCACTACCAGGGGAGGAAGAGGGGGCTGGGTCACAGGCTCTGCTCTGTGTTCTAAATCCTCAGGATGTGTGCAGCCACTGCCCCGGGGCAGGGGGGGCCGGGCAGGGGCTCCGCTGTGAGTGCCATGTCTGCCACTGAAGCCTCGGTTCACTTGCATGTGCACCAGTGTGAGGATTCATGTTTTAGATGGGGAGAAGGCATCTCCCCTCATTCCACTGTCTCCCAGAGGTCCAGTCCACCCACTGTCAGATGTATAGATGCATGGATCTCTCAGGTGTTCTGGTGTGCTGTACAGGGAGCCCTTTGTTAGTTAATGGATGTCTGTCTGGTTGTGACTTAGAGGGGAGAGACAAAGGGAACTTTCTGCGCCATGATGCTCTCTCCCATTTTTCAAATCTCACAGATCCCTTTTCATGTCCATCTCTAACTATATCTTCATCACGTCTGCAATGCTTTTGTTGTTGCTACATCATCACCCACATTATCATAGTCTTATATGCAGCAGGATTGTTGTTAAACTAACATTAAACATTTACTACTGAGTACCAAGCACTAAGCAAAGCATTTTGTGCTCAGGATCTCATTCAATCTCCACAAAGACCTTATGAGGCAGACAGTATTATTATCTGTTTTGCAGGAGATGAGACTCAGAGAGGTTAAGTAAGACGCTTATCGCCCCAGAGGTAGCAAATGGTAGAGTCAGAATCAGGAGGAGAAATCAGATTTATATAACCGTAGAATGAGCTCTTTGAGGGAAAATACTTTATTTTGTTAATCTTTATATTTCTAGAAGGTACAGAGAAAATGACTGTTTGTGAGATTAAATTGACTGCGATAGCCCAATCTCAATGTTTAAATTGCTTTTGGGGCTGGAAAGGAGTGTTTTTGTCTTCCTGTCTATATCTTTGTCAGGATCACCATCTATTCAAACATTTGAGCAGGACAAGCTTTATATAGCAGCCTGGCTATGCATATTGATTTCAAGAATGGTTTGAAGAGCCCCTGTCTCTTCCACTTCTTATTCTTGCTGTTAATTCTGCTTATTGAGATTTTTCTCCATGGCAAAAGCCTTTATCACTATAAAAATGGAAATAACACAGCAATTGGTAACAGATCAGCAATTTATAAATTAGTATGAATAGATTTATCAGATTATTTCGTATGAGCAAATATTGATCACAGGTAGAGGGGAATCAGTTATATCCAGTGACAACATATGGAGGGCTAAGATAAAATGGGATACAAATGAACAGAAGGAGATATCAGCTTTCTAGATATTATAATTGAGATTTTTTTAGGTTTATCTATGACTGACATTAATTAATAAAGCTAAATAACATTAATGTCATTGAAATTTACATTTGTGAGATATGTTGTATAGAAATAAAGTGTAGCTGAGGAGAGACACGTTTCTAGTGGGATGTAGTAGTTATTTCTATTACCTATACACTGCTTTCTTCTAGTTTCAGTCTGATTGCTGTATGTGTATGAGCAAGTTATACATATAAATTGTATACTGTTTAAAAATATAAATGCAACAGAATGGAAAGAGTATTGTTGAAAGTAAAAGTAAATAGGTAAGTGTATATCATTTCTGTTTAGGTTCACACTTTTATATGCATATATTTGGGTAACTGGACTATTTACCAACTAATTATGACTTGGCTGATATTAAAATGAAGTTGTCACCTGATGACAAATTTTCCATGGAGAAGATGGTTCTGAAATATATGGTTTGTATGATGAAAAATCAGATTGGAAGAAACTACATAAAACTGGCAATAAGTGTTGATGACTGTAAGAGGTTTGCCAACTGTAAAGACACATTATTCTGCTATCTAATTTAACATATGAGAAAACTG